ACTCACAAGTCGTCACCAGTGGGGTCCACTCGGTCGGCTGTGACGACAAGTACTCGCCAACGATCACATTGGCTGGTGGTCTGGCTAAAATCACGAATTCCTAGGAGTTGGAATTCATGGGCGATTGAGTCGAGTCGGAGTGACTGAATGGTCTACGAGCTTGGCTTGTCACCAGGAAGCTGCTCGGTTCCAAAGAGACTGGGTGCGCACTGACCACCACTCACACGCTAGCAACAAACACCTGTCCACTACTCCCTGCTTTCCAATGCTCGCTTCTCTCACTCCTCATATCAATCCGTGATCAAACATCGAAGAAATCGACTCACTGACTACAGACAAACTCCTGAAAATTAATCTGATGCTCGCTAGTCACTCGCTGAAGGACGAAGTTTCCTGCACTTCTACTCACAAGTCGTCACCAGTGGGGTCCACTCGGTCGGCTGTGACGACAAGTACTCGCCAACGATCACATTGGCTGGTGGTCTGGCTAAAATCACGAATTCCTAGGAGTTGGAATTCATGGGCGATTGAGTCGAGTCGGAGTGACTGAATGGTCTACGAGCTTGGCTTGTCACCAGGAAGCTGCTCGGTTCCAAAGAGACTGGGTGCGCACTGACCACCACTCACACGCTAGCAACAAACACCTGTCCACTACTCCCTGCTTTCCAATGCTCGCTTCTCTCACTCCTCATATCAATCCGTGATCAAACATCGAAGAAATCGACTCACTGACTACAGACAAACTCCTGAAAATTAATCTGATGCTCGCTAGTCACTCGCTGAAGGACGAAGTTTCCTGCACTTCTACTCACAAGTCGTCACCAGTGGGGTCCACTCGGTCGGCTGTGACGACAAGTACTCGCCAACGATGACATTGGCTGGTGGTCTGGCTAAAATCACGAATTCCTAGGAGTTGGAATTCATGGGCGATTGAGTCGAGTCGGAGTGACTGAATGGTCTACGAGCTTGGCTTGTCACCAGGAAGCTGCTCGGTTCCAAAGAGACTGGGTGCGCACTGACCACCACTCACACGCTAGCAACAAACACCTGTCCACTACTCCCTGCTTTCCAATGCTCGCTTCTCTCACTCCTCATATCAATCCGTGATCAAACATCGAAGAAATCGACTCACTGACTACAGACAAACTCCTGAAAATTAATCTGATGCTCGCTAGTCACTCGCTGAAGGACGAAGTTTCCTGCACTTCTACTCACAAGTCGTCACCAGTGGGGTCCACTCGGTCGGCTGTGACGACAAGTACTCGCCAACGATGACATTGGCTGGTGGTCTGGCTAAAATCACGAATTCCTAGGAGTTGGAATTCATGGGCGATTGAGTCGAGTCGGAGTGACTGAATGGTCTACGAGCTTGGCTTGTCACCGGGAAGCTGGTCGGTTCCAAAGAGACTGGGTGCGCACTGACCACCACTCACACGCTAGCAACAAACACCTGTCCACTACTCCCTGCTTTCCAATGCTCGCTTCTCTCACTCCTCATATCAATCCGTGATCAAACATCGAAGAAATCGACTCACTGACTACAGACAAACTCCTGAAAATTGATCTGATGCTCGCTAGTCACTCGCTGAAGGACGAAGTTTCCTGCACTTCTACTCACAAGTCGTCACCAGTGGGGTCCACTCGGTCGGCTGTGACGACAAGTACTCGCCAACGATGACATTGGCTGGTGGTCTGGCCAAAATCACGAATTCCTAGGAGTTGGAATTCATGGGCGATTGAGTCGAGTCGGAGTGACTGAATGGTCTACGAGCTTGGCTTGTCACCAGGAAGCTGGTCGGTTCCAAAGAGACTGGGTGCGCACTGACCACCACTCACACGCTAGCAACAAACACCTGTCCACTACTCCCTGCTTTCCAATGCTCGCTTCTCTCACTCCTCATATCAATCCGTGATCAAACATCGAAGAAATCGACTCACTGACTACAGACAAACTCCTGAAAATTGATCTGATGCTCGCTAGTCACTCGCTGAAGGACGAAGTTTCCTGCACTTCTACTCACAAGTCGTCACCAGTGGGGTCCACTCGGTCGGCTGTGACGACAAGTACTCGCCAACGATGACATTGGCTGGTGGTCTGGCCAAAATCACGAATTCCTAGGAGTTGGAATTCATGGGCGATTGAGTCGAGTCGGAGTGACTGAATGGTCTACGAGCTTGGCTTGTCACCGGGAAGCTGCTCGGTTCCAAAGAGACTGGGTGCGCACTGACCACCACTCACACGCTAGCAACAAACACCTGTCCACTACTCCCTGCTTTCCAATGCTCGCTTCTCTCACTCCTCATATCAATCCGTGATCAAACATCGAAGAAATCGACTCACTGACTACAGACAAACTCCTGAAAATTGATCTGATGCTCGCTAGTCACTCGCTGAAGGACGAAGTTTCCTGCACTTCTACTCACAAGTCGTCACCAGTGGGGTCCACTCGGTCGGCTGTGACGACAAGTACTCGCCAACGATGACATTGGCTGGTGGTCTGG